TGGTAGGTTCCGCTTGGTCATCCCCAACTTGTGTGTCTTGGACATTGAACAAGAATATCTTCCTGGCTCGAACCTTCTGTTTCAGCTTAGCCAGCTCCCCCATGCACGCATCAACAAACACTGCTGCCATCTTAATCTGATTATCCTCCCTTCTCTTGCACTCTCTCAATTGAGCTAGTATTTATATATAGTAAGTGTCTTGAGTAATAGTAATAATCTATTCTTGGAGTTCAATCATCAAGCTACAATGAATGAACAGAAACGCGTAGCAAAACTACACATATTTATGCAGAATTGAAGTCGAGAGAAGAAAACAAGGCAGTGGGGGCTGCTGTGGGGCATCGGTTTCAAAGGGAATCCAGTGGCGTATGAAAAATCAGCATGTAGCCGCCCCCAGAACCAGAAGCACATACATGGTCAATTTGGTCATGGGATTAGAATATCTTAAAAAACCAATGGCATATTCCAAATTTCTGGAATAATGCAACTCCAACTCCAACTCATCCATCCATCTGTCTCCAATAGACTGGTCCAGTCTACTACTCGTCCATCTGTCTGGTCTCCAAGTAACGTCCTCTTTGCTCGTTCTATCATTGTATTATGCCGTGCCCATAATGCACTTCAGTTTTGATTAATTATTGCTGCCTTTTGCCTTGGGACCGACCTTCCAGTGGACGACAATGACCAAAACGAATGAATGATTTTTTTCATTCCCTTGGCCCTTTTTTTTCTGTACTTTTAATTATTATCTGTGTGTGTGTGTGTGTGTGTGTGTGTTTTTTTTAAAGCTTATAGTTAGTAATTAGCAGGAAAATTTACCAACACATGGTGCAGAAGTCAATGATTTACGGATAATTAATGGTGTGCCCAAGCATACGTCTTTATTTGGAATGCTTCGGTTCGTGCAAATCAACGGCACGGCATTTAGAAGTAGCTGCACATTTTCTAAAAACTATTTATAATTAGTACGATGAACGTCTTCTTCTTCGCTTCTTGAATTCTATTTTTTCCTATGCGTACAATATATATATAAAAAGATATCCAATATGGAGTGCTCAAAGTTTTGTTCAAGTCAACTTTTGCCTAACTTGAGAGTTTCTGCGTGCGACTTCAATGCCTATCCATTCATTTTGTTTTTATTCGCAAGATTCAATGCTTATCCATTCATGTTCCCTTCGCTACTAATTTCAATTCCTTAGTAAACCAAGGCAAAAATAAACAAACTAAATAAAAGGCAAAAAAAAAAAAAAAATCCAGTTGGAAAATATGCTCAAGACATATATTTGTTCGAAAAATCGATAATAAATCAAAGCATATATAAACTAAATGGTTTCCACAACGAGGCATATTAATATCCACAACGGTGCTGCTGCGGGATCAGGATGTAATTAATTAATATTTTGTCATAGCTAAAAATAAATATAATTAAGGTCTCAAGAAAGAATTGGAGGTCTAAATTTTGCAGCCTACTTCTTAAACCCCACCATTTCATTGCTTTGGAACCAAAAAAAAAAAAAAAACTAGGCAGGAAAATTAACAAAAAAGAAAAAAGAAAAGGTGAAGTCGTGGAGTTCAAGCCCATATGAGATGGTAGCAACTGATTGAAACATTTGTGGCATCCTTCTACAGTTAGGAGAATGTGTGGCTCATTCTTCTTTTTGGCTGAAAATGTGAGAGTAGCTTCTGCAGCTTTCTCTTGTTCTTTTTCTCCAGTTTTCATTTACTGTGGTAATACACCTTCTGTTCTTCTATTTTAATTAATGGAATTTAGTTTCAGTTTGGAATTACATAACAGGTGGGAAGATTCTAGGAACTCTTTCCGAATCATTAATGATTTGCTTCATGATAATTAAATGCATTGAAATTCATCCAACCGTACAAGTATGCGAAACGATAGAAGTATGCCTTTTAAGACTCTGTTTTCGATAATTAAACTAGCAATTGTTGTTAGTTTAACACAGTAATAGTTTTCTTAAAATCATTTTCCTTCAAAGGACAGATACAACTTTTACTGGAAAATGTATTTGAAGAGTAGAATTAACTATGCGAAGAAACAATTAAATTCATGCAAAGTAATAGTTTATTCTGAAAGATCCTCTGACGATTAAAAATATCCCCATCACCATCACCGGAGCAATGATGACAAAAATTTGGGTCCAGTCCGATCGTCAAGGCCGAATGTCCCAAACGAACGAACGAACGAACGAACAAACAAAAGCTAGGTGCAGTTATAATTTTTTTTTTTAGTTATGGTATAATTACAATATTTCCTTGCGTCGAGCAAGTGCGCAAGGGGGGTGTAGCTCATATGGTAGAGCGCTCGCTTCGCATGCGAGAGGCACGGGGTTCGATTCCCCGCACCTCCACTCTCTGCGCATGTTTCCTTTTCTACTATTATGCTTTATGTTAACTAAAAACAGGCGCAAATGAACAAGCGACCAATCCATTTTGCATATCTTCTTGTCTGTGTTTTATGTTGGAAATCTAGAACAGACGCAAATGATGAAGCCACCAATTCATTATTATTTCTCTTGGCCAAAAACTTCACTTGTCATTTCGTTAATTGATCTTCGATTGGTTAACGGATTGACGAAGATGAGTCCGTCCTTCATTCAGACAAGGTAACCATAGTTTACAAACAAGTTATTTTAACACATCACCCAACCAAACGACATACATACATGCTGCCTAAACTCGACACTCAGATGATTAATGATCTGAGAAATCGCATCAGATTAAGTTAAAATTAAGGACTAAAGCAATTCACGAGCATAGAAAGTGTAGCCTCCGAGCAATGCAGAGCAACCAATTTCTTGACTTGCCAATTTGCAGCCAAGTTGCTGAAGAAGGAGCGCCCGGGGCTGGCTTCCTGGATAGCTTGATCGAGACTGGCTGCCGGGGTCAATGTTGATGCTGCACTTGCATTACCATTTGAGAGGAGAGTGAAGTTTTGACCCTTTTCACGCAATTTATCGACTTCACTCGTCCAAATATCTACTAGCCCAGACATTATTGCTTCTCGCGAGAGAGAAAAATATCTTCTATTCTTGTGCGTGCGTCTTTTTGTGTGATTCTGGAATGAAACCATCCTGGCTTTCATACATTTTAACTTCCTATATATAGAGGACACAAATACATAGGGCAAACATGAAAGAATTAGATGGGTTTGCCAAGCAAGGATGGCGCACACAGTTGCTAGCCAGGTTTGGTGTTTGTATCTGTGTGCTTTTTTTCAGTTGATTGAGTTGAACTATTGAAGTCTGTTACTGTTAAGACACCAAAATAGTAATAATAAAGAATCTAAAATTAGTCCACTGTCTCGTTCTCATGGTTAGTTGTTGCTGTCTTTTATTTACCGTGGGCAGTATCATTCTCATGGTTTGGTTTAAACAAAAACCGCAGCTCCGCTGTATCCGGTATTCTATTTATCTGGTCCAATGGACCATTTCCTATTTCAACATCCGATCCAATACGCTTCCTCTTCATCTCTCGTCTCGTTTTTTGGGTGCATAATATATTCAAAATTAAAACCCGTGGCCTGCTACGTTCGGATCCCTCGAATCCAAGGAAAGCTTTTTTGATAGTTATAGATTTTATGATGGAGCACTATGCTCATCATCTCATGCTCCATACTTTTCATTATACTTATCCACTATTACTATACATAACTACTACAATTGCACTTATCCACCACTACTACACCCACGGCAGGTACTACATAAAATTTTATGCTGACTTTTCCTACCAATTTCAATCAGCAAACCAGTGTAATTAATTCCTTTGCTCCAACTAATTTAATATTTTATATCTTTTTCATTATTTTTTTTCCCTAAAATATGTGCACGTATAGAGCGAGTCTCGCCCACTAATAAGCACATAATTTGCTACTACTGCATATGTTCATGAAAGGCGAAAAATCGAATCAAACCTTGGCTAACAAATGGAATAATATTCCCCATACTCCGCCTCGGCTTTTTTTTTTTTGCCACAACATGTATAATTCAATCATTGAACTGACATTCAAGTAATTCTTGGAGGGGATCAATAGATTCTATCATCACCAATGCCAATTGTATGGTGTAGTGTAAACAGCAACACAGCATATAGAGACACTAGTAAAACAAATGTTTAAACACCAAGATAACAACGTGCAAAAATATATTAAAATTCGGCACTTCATGAAATTGGGTTCCCAATTCAATCTCATCCACTCAATTTCAAATCGAACACATTATCACCATTAACTGTACCATACAATCTAACTTGGACGCCTTATGCCTGTTATTATCCAAAAGAGATCAGTTTCGAACACAAGTTTAAACTACTAAGCTCAAAAATTTAATAACACTACAATTAATTTACATACACATACAAACTATAAAGAATGATTTGCTTGTTTTAATCTTTATCATGTATAACAAGATCCCACAACATTCAATCTCTGAATGTGTTTGGATAGCAAATTATTTATACAAATTTATGTGTTTGTATCATAAACATATTTTTCAATTACTATTTTATTTCAAATAATCACGTTCAAAAAATGTTATAATATTTTTAATTCAAAATATTATCCCAAATAATCTCCTATTCAATAACAACCCACGAAGTCTAACTTCTACTCCGTCTTATATCAATGACAACCCACGAAGACTTTTCCTGGGAATAGCCGTACTAGAAAGGTACGGGGAGAAATAAAATAAGTCAAATATAATTATTAGCGACGCACAAGAAGAATTTGAATGCATTCTTAAGACCAATTTATCGGACCTTAAGGCCCAACTTAGATGATAAGGACGATAGTTAAGTAATTACGAAATTCCTAGTTTAAATTTCAAACCCTCACTTTTTTTCCTTTTCCCTTGCAACGTTTGAAACCTGTACCGCTTCCTCATAAAGGTGAGACAAACTCATATACTAATAAGACTGAGGAATTGAAGTAAGTGTAACTTTTTCTGGCACGTGAATCCCTTGTGTTGGAATTTGATGCACTGAAAATAAAGGAAGCAAGTCAGCAACATTCGTCCTTTTCATTGTACTGTAAAATAGCAGGAAAAGTAGAGCTTAACCGAATAAAGAATTTCTGCAATAGAGAAAAATGAATAAAAATGTCAGGATAAAGGTAAAGACGGCTAGAGATCCTCAAATATATTTAAAATGCGGACAGTAGTTAAAAATTCAATACGTGACATCACAAGTCAGGAGCGAAGGCGCAACTCTGTTGGTCATCAACCAGATGGTTCATGTGCTGATGCAGCATGTGTCACAGTGATATAAAGCATTTAGCTGGACCAACATCCTTAAAGCATGGCAACAGAAACTCTAGTCCAATTTGCCAATCAGCTTAACTTCCCAAGTTCCAGCGCATTAAGTTGCTCTTTGATCGGGTTCAGCAGTAAACACGAGTGCTGTTGAGGATAGCACCCTAGGGAGCCAGCATTGAGAATCTGCAAATCCTGATTGCCGCTTTTACAAGGCACTGATCAACTAAGAAGCCCAAGCTTGTGTAACAGGTGCAAGTACTCACATCTGAGCTGTAATACATTTATCAATTTAAACGGGGCAGCTGCCTGCTGCAATAACCTGCCACCAGCCCTTCAATGAGATCTTTTGTCATTTAAAACAATCCACGCACAGCCAGGAAACGTACACTGAGGACGAGCTCAAGGGACTGGTGAGAAAGCAGATCTCTTTAGAACCTCATGCCAAAAATCCTTTGCACCTCAGTATCCCTCAGGCACATTCATGCGCAAACCATGGTGCCTTCCATCTTTTGCAACTCAAAATAGGGATTATGATTTGAAGAAACATGACGTGCCATGGCAATAGCTGCACCCAAGGCAGTGGATCACAGTTTCAGTTCTTGCATTGAGAAGTCGAAGAGCAGCACAAATCCAGATACACATGGAACATCTCTTACCAAATTCTGAAGGAAGAGGTTCATAGAAAATCATCCTCTTCAAAAGCTCAAATCCATGGTGTCCAACCTTCATACATATTGCATAAATTGTCCACACTTGTTGCTTGTTTGAGCAGAAAATCAACTTGTTCAGCAATACTAATATCTCTGTGAATGGGGGCAAAAAACTATTAATAGATCCAATAATAAGATACCTGGCGAAAAAGCCATGGCACGCACATACCTGTTATTTGCGATATCCTGACCATCAAGTTTCATCTCTACTCGCCTTAGTATTGACATTGCATAAGCATTTTTGCCTACAAGCTCAAACGTTACAAACAGCATAAGAAGCATGCTATTTTCATTATCTAATAATCCAAAAAAAAAAAAAATGAAGATCCCGTATCACAGTATTAGAGCAAGGGGAAAACCACAAGAAGCCAAAAAGGCATGCACCACGATTTTAAGTTTCCATAAGCTCTGCACCCTAATTTCTCAAATTAAAAAAATAAATACATTTGCAATATCAAAAAGCTGCTATAGTTCTGAAAAGGAACCGCAGATAATGCACAACAGCTGCTCTAGCAATTCAAACCATGTCAGATTGCATCGAAGTGAGGTAATTACCTCCAAAACTATAGAAACATTTTATAGTAGGTCTCTTACCACCACAAAAGACCCAGAACCTTAAATAGAGTTTTTATTAGTTATCTTACCCCTGGTAGCTCGAGTTCCAGCTTCTGTAGAAATAAATGAAGTGTCATGTGTTCCCCCCACCTTGTCTTCGTTTGACAAGGAAGCTTCCTTTCTAAGCACCGACTTTCCTTGGGAACTTACCTGACTCAGAAAACGGTAGTATTATGAGGTTGGCATGCATATAATTTTTAAGGCAAGCACTTTTAACCTTAAATCACAATTATATACCTGAATGCTTACTGAGCCTGATTGAGTAGGAAATGATTTCTCATGAGGAACAGCCTCATTTAAGCAAAATTGGTTTGAAAACTCTCTCGCCTCTCTGTTACTAGTATCATACAAAAGTGGTTCGGTCACATCTGAACCATTGGAGCTATCTGGAAGACTAACTTCAGCTAATGTAACACCAGAATCCAAGCTTCCGCTCAAGATAGTTTCAGGAGGAGATATCCAGCTTTTCTCTTGCAATGACAGGTCATTCAGACGAAGAAGATCATGATAATTTTCAGGATAAGATTTGGAGAAAATCTCACTCTCATCATTATGATATGCAGTGATATCACCGGCTAAACCTTGGCTAGACAAATTATTGTCCGGCGGCCTTTCCTCTTGGCTGTCCCCCAATCCTTCAAGAGCCTGAAAAAAAAAATGGATAGTGAATTTGTCTGCTAGGAGCAGTTACTTTGGGGTTTGGAAACGAAATTCTATGGGCAATATATATTTTAGATTACTTTGTGAAGATTTCCTGCATGAAGACTTGCAGTACGTGCTAGCCTGGTCAACATGGAATATAACCCCTTCACAGAGGATGTGAGAGGTGGTACCAAAGGCTTAAATGCTTGACAAGCCTCCGTGGTTCTTATATAATAAGACTGGAATATAGCTTGACCATGAATTGGGGATATTTCCATCTGCGTTTCTTGCTCCTTGCCCATAGCATCAGTCATAGCAGCAACATCCTTAGACAACAGAGATTCAAGCGGCAGCAAAATAGCATTCACCTGTATAGAATGTGACTCATTTAGAAATGAAGACAAATTTCACTGCAAAGAACCTTGAAATTATGACTTCAAACTGAACAAAGGAAACTGAATAAATTGAACAAAGGAACATGAAGACCTTAGAAAGATCTTCCATAAGAGAGAAGTGTAAGGCAGCAGCCTCCTTTCCCAAGCTGTGAACATCATGTAGACCTTCTGTTATTGCCAGGACCTATAGAAAATGGAGGAGTTCGCCAAAAATAAGTACTGAGCAATGTTTATGTTTAAGGCCTTAAAAAGGCGATGACCTTTGGACAACTTTCTGATACTTGTACCTCCCACAAAATAAGCTACTTGTTACATTCATTGAAGAATAGGTTTAAATAACAATAAAGTTTAATTTAAGCACAAATTACTTTTATGAGTAGAAGTTATACAAACAAGGGATGATAAGGCTTATCATCACCACAGGGTAAATCAGTGCAGAGGAATATTCAAGAAGATAATGGGATTGAAGATGATTTTATTGGTAAGGCAATAATAAATGCATATTTCTCCACAGTCAAGTCTAGGACATGAAGTTAAACAATTTCTCATCGAGACAGCACAGCCAAAAAGCACATATACGAGCTATCCAAAGTGGAAATTTGCAATGGTTTAAAGCAAAAGAAAGTATCACAATTAATTTAACTACCATTATAGCTATGTGGCAAGAGTTCAAGTACAGACATAATAAGGAGCAGTAAAGGTTCAGACTAAGTTCTAAAGCAAAAAGCACACATCAAAAGCCAATTTCCAAGATGCCTCAAGCATGGAACCAAATTCTGAAGTATTGAACCAAGTGATGAATGACTCAAACTTAGACCAACTGATGAATGCAACATACCTCCTCAAGCATAGAACCACATTCTGAAGTCAAAGTTGTATGGCCTTTGGTAATGCCCGCAAAAGCTGAGAGTGCTACACTGGCTTCATAAGCAGAATCCCGCATTGCAAGTAGTGTGCTCTGCAAATCACCTGCACAACAATAGGCAGATCCTAAAGTTGTGCATATAGAGAGGACTTCATATTTATCTATACTCAAGTTTTAACTCTATTTTTTTTAATTTTTAAATTTCTTGCTATTTTGAATTACAAGAATGCATCTGCTCTCTGCTCTAAGATGGTTGTTTTCTGAGCATCTTGTAACTCGATGGAAGCAGTCAATCAGTAACTTAAAAGGACAAGCTTCACCTATCACGGATAATTACACTTCTCCAATGCCGACAAAGAACAAGATAAACCAAATAATTCTGTAAAGGGACATACTAAACATGCACATACCCGTATTGTCACCAAAATTTCTGTTTCTCATTTTTTAGTGAAAGATAAATTAGCAAAAATAAACTAGTCCTTTTCATTTACCAATAAACCTTGCACATGGTCCTTAATCTGGGCTGGGGATATATAGTTCGACATAAATTTTTGGAAGTCAAATTCAATTTCTCTCGTATGACTAACTTAACATGGGCTCACAACACAGACATATATGGCCACTACAATCTTGTTGATGATTTAGTCAGTAAATCAATCAAGCAAAGTTTGGAGACTGGGAACTATCAGCATTTTCACTCATTAATGGCAATTTGTAAGTTCCAGAATGATTCAATTGATAACTTATCAAAGTAATTTAGAATCAATAATTATTGAAAGTTGTTGCCAACAACTATGGGAAAATCCTTTTTACTTAATTTAAATGGCCTACTAGGTACATAATCATTTGGTAATTCATATTCTCCATATCCCTCTTTTTGGTTTCATTTCAAGGTGAAGCAGGTCAAAGTAAAAACTGTTTCTTTCATGTTCATCAGTAATTTCCTGATCCAAACTCATTATGGACAAAATGGGAGTTAGAATTCAAGTTCTGGACAGGTCTCTTCAGCCTTTTTCTATTTTTCGGTATTCTATATGACCACATAAGAAATATTGGTATGCTATTTGACCAAATAAGAAATCTAAAAGGGGCAATTTTACTGGCTAACCTCTTGAAAGATGGTGTTCAGGCATCAAGTGCGGTATTTAGAACCAGAGATCATATATGGGAAAACTATCCTGAAAATTAGTCAGATGTAATTTAACTAGCAGATTTCATGGAATGTTAAGTTGGGTTTGGTTTTTGCTCGGATAGCTGGTGCTTACGCTCTTTCCCATCTTGAGATCCCCATTCACTCAATGCCCATCCTTTCTAATATTTCTCTCCCATGTAATCTCAGACTAATCATCGATCAATACGATCTTCCTTAAAAGCGAAAACCAATTTTTGAATGCAATTCCTTGTGGTAATAAAAAGTTCACACATTAAAATTTATCAACCTAAAACTATAAAAAAATTATCGTACAAAAGAGTTCACAAATTCATGGCAAATAAAGAAATAATGGATTAAGAGTTCACATCTGAAAACCAGATTACCTGACGCTGATTTCACTTTAACAGAGGCGACGCAAAGTTCATTACTTGCAGAAAATAAACCACTAGAAGCAGCTTCCATATTGCTCTGAGCAAACTTCCATTCCTGTTCAGTACCTGAAAGAGGAAAGCTTTCCATACATTCATCAACAAAGAAAGAAGAGCGTATAAAACCAACAATAAAAACCAATTTTATCATTCATCCAATGAATAAAGTAAATGTTTGTCCTCACGTGTAAAGGAATGATAAGTAATGTCCAGTTTGGTCAGAACATTCAAGTAAGCTTGCTGCCAGGTCCTGCCATCAGAAACAGTCCTCAAAGGATAGAGCTCTTCTGAATTTCGAAATATCCCATCTCTTGATGCTTCAAACTCCAATATTAAAATGCAAATTTTCATTATCTCTGATGCCTTTTCTCTAGCTTCCCATAACAACTGCCTCCGTCTCATTAGATGATCATGGAATTCAGGCGGTATCCCTGAATTCCTAGTCAAACTATTTCCAGTTGCACTAGAACTTGGACCACCACAAGCCCAGACCATTGCTCTCTCAAGCTGCCCTTCAGCTGTGACAGAAGTTTGCTCACAAGCTTGCAAGCTCTCAAGTGATCTAGCTATTCTTGCAATGGATGATTGTAAACTTTCCACCAACTTAGGTCTGCTAATGTTTAAAATAACTGGAAGTAAGTTATCCTGACTTGCAAGAAACTTATGGGAGATAAGCCTGTTATGCTGCAAAGGGTTTAGGGTAATATCATGCATCCATTCCATTTGAACAATTTCAAGGCTGGCCTTTAGAAGAGCCTCTTTTAATTCATTAACCTGCCTTTCCATGATGGAGGCAGCCGATCTTGCTGCTCTGACAGTTTCATGAGCACTGCAGTACTTTTCAAGCATGACTTGGACTCTTTTTACTGCCCCAACATCTCTCACCGGATCAAATTGAAGGTCCCTTCCTGTCTCATTCATATGCTTCAAGGACTCACACTCCGTGTCTAATCTTACCAATAAGATAGGAGCAACACGTTCTCTTAAATAATGCTTAATATGTTCTTGAATTCGCGCTTCAATTTTCTGCCTGACTGCATTTACTAGTTGATCAAATCCCAAATTCTGATTAACAAATGAAGATACATCATGTGTGCAGGAATCAAGAAAAGAGTCAACAAGAGAGACCTTCCAAATAAAGAAGGCATGACTACTTAGCACGCCTGAAAACTTCCATACATAATCAGATATTGGTCCCGAATTGACCAAATCTTCAAGGTGAGAATTTCTACTTGAGCCAGATGCTGCTAATTTATCAAATGAAGCCAAAGCTTGATCAACTGATTCCAACTCAGAGAAGGGCTCCATTAGTGCAGCGAGAAGAGCTTTGCTTCTTGAAACATGCGGCTCTCTCTGCTGATCAGTTCTGATTTGAGATTGCAAAAGATGTTCAGATGTCATCAAAGCACTTAAAATATTTGCCTCTTTCTTTATAAGAGAACTAGTACGGAAGTCCTTCTGGTTCCATGTCTGATGAAGCTTATCCAGCTGTGCTCTGCAAGCTTCTTCTTGGGAGGCAAGCTCCTCAGCTTCTTCCCAAGACAAATGATCTCTGCCCTTGACGGCAGCTTCTTCAAGAGCCAACTGTTGCTCAGTGATGAGACCAACCTTAACAAAGTAATTCTGCTCAAGTTCAACCAACGAAACCCTCTCTTGTTCAACCTCTACAAGTTGCTCCAGAGATGTATCAATGGATCCCTTGATTTGTGAGAGTGATCCAAACACATCCATTACTTCTGAGTTGAATGAAACAACACTCCTTATTACATCAGGTAGAACAACTTCAATCATTTGGCTAGCAAACCGCTTGCAGGAAAGCAGGCTGGTCTGAAACATTGAAGCCCAGTTGTCTCGAGACAAGCAGTTAACACGGTCTCCATCTACATTACCTCTTGAATCCCCATCCATATGTTGATTGACTTCATTAAGAAACCCTGCTACAAGTAAGCATTTTTGTATTTGCTCTTCCAAGTAATTGAAAATATTTCCAAGATCAGACTCTGGTCTGTCATCTGAATTTCCCCAAATGGAACCATTCAAGTTATTAACTATTGCCTTCTTGACATCATTATACAAAGTAATGGCAGCATAATTTAGGATAGTCCGAACATTTTCCTTCTTCTCTTCAATATCTCCCTGAGATCTAGGATCCTCAGGAACATCAACATTTACTGTTCCCAAAGCAAATGCATCTGCTTTCTCCTCAGACCTGGAAGACCGCATATAGTTCATGAAAGTAGACAAGAGACAATCCTTAGCTTCTGATTCAGTCTCTGGACCAATGGAGTCCAGAAGTTCTGTGCACTCTTTTTCCATTTTCTCTATTTCTACTGCATATTCTCCCACCTTAAAACAAAGTTCATCGTAGCTACTCTGAGCAGAATTGAACCAATTCCCATGTAACTTTGCAATGAGCTCAGAAGCCTGTCTCCTAGAAACGGAGAGAACATCAGAGGAGAGCGTACTCATTGAAAGCTGCAGAACTTGTGCCCAACCATGTACTGGGCTGGTAGTCAGATAATTCAATGGTAGGATCCGCTGCAGAGCCAGTGCATACGTTTGGAGTGTTGTAACTGCAGAAGAAAGTCCATGATCCAGCTCAGCCACTAATAGAGAAACTTCCCTATCTATCTCATAGCACTGAACTTGCGTGGGTTCAGGAACAATGGTCAATGGAACCCCAGCCTGAAGAACAGCAGATGTCAGAGATAAAGATTCTTCAGCACCAGTTAGCCTAATCGCTTCAATTTCTGGTATTGACCGACTTCTCAATGCATCAAGTATCCTTCCATGCTCTTCAATCCAACTTGTTGCCTCTTCAGCTTTCTCCATCACTGCAGCCTGCGCTTGGGCAAATTCCCGAGCCTGTATTTCCAATGCAGCATGGATCGTTTCGGAGTTGCAAGATGCTTCAGCAACAATAGACTTGGCTGATGTTTCATGGAGAGCAAGATTGGACCTCTCTTGGTCAACCCGATGAAATAAAGCAGAGACAATCTCATACTGATTTAAGATGCTTACAAATCTCTGGACATACATTGACAAAAATTTCAAGGGTAAAAAAGACCAAGTAAGGGAAACTTAAAGGAAAATAAGAGAGTGAGAGGGAGGGAGGGAGATTATATACCTCAAGGGAAGATTCAATAGCAGGTAAGACAGCTAGGAGAAGATTGTGATGCTCCTAACCAAAATCAAAAGAACAGTCATGCAAATAAATATAAATACACAGTGAACCACTGCATCAATTCTTGTAAAAAGAGATAGCAACTGCACCTCAAAGAGCATGATATGAAACAAAATCACTCCTGTAGTGTATTTAGAGATGCCATAGTTCTATTGGACAGAAAATTATGCAATACTCAAAGTTAGGCATGACACTGATAATAACAACTCTAAAAACATCAGTACCTGCAATGGAACCCGAATTTCTTGCATACGTGATGCAAACAAACTCAGGCTCACTGCAAGCTCCATGCCTTTTCTCTCCTCACCAACAATTGCTGCATCATCATGAAAATCTCCACGTGTCCATTCCACAAGTGGATCCCAAACAAAAACTTCAAGCAACATCAAGATGATATCCTTATTCTTCTTCAGAACACCAAGAACTGCTTCACAGCTTGCTCTAAAAGCGCCTTCAATCCCAGTTAAACCTAGAGCTGCTTCAATTGTCTGAGTCAAGCGAAATGGTACAATCTCAGGAATTTTTAGTCGCTGGCCTTTATCAAAACACACATTGTAATCAATGTGCAAGATTTCTCCAGTAGAAAAATCAATAGGAATATTATCCAAATGCCGGTCACCCAGTCCTAGAATGTGGCCAACAATGCTCATGGTGGCTACACTGCCAGAGAACCTACAAGGAAAGGAATTAAATAAATGAACAAAAGTTGATTGTCCACAATTATTTCACATGAAACAAAAATTTATCTAATTATCCACCAACTGCTGCAGATCAATCCATTTCCCACGGCAACCGTATAACAAGCAATTGAACATCATCTTCATGAAAGAACTCTTTTTACTAGAGAGGAGCATTGGGTAGTCAGATACTGTCAGCAAGCATCGTTCCAACAAAATTTAAGTCCTCAGTCAGCACTATTTCTCACACTTTGGACCCTTTCACCAAAAGCAAAACACCTTAGATGTGGTGATGCGGCATGAACAACGCATTAATTTAGTGATCTAAACTTGTGAGAATACAAGGAAGCAAACAGTATCTGAAGCAAATACCCTAGGAAGATGTTAAATCTCATATCCTGTACGCCATCTAGTACTTATTTAGCTAAATATGTCTTATACAACCATAATATTCATTGCAATAATCAGCAATAGTCGAGATAGAAGTGCTGCGAATGAATCACATAACTTCCTATGCCTGTTGAACACTTCAGGGTTCCCTTCTTATCATTTCTTCTACAGTATCTGACAGGCAAACCGTATACCAGACAAAAACCAAGTCAACCTTTTGGATGGATGATCTAGTGGACTTTAAAAAGCCAACAGTAATGAATAAGCACATTCCAGAATCAAAAGCATACAGTTTACACAATGCGTTGAAAAATCAACACAAAATAAAAGGTCAAAGATAAAGAAAAAGGCCAAGCAATTCAGCCAAAGAATCCATGCCCCTCTATCAAAAAAGAAACAGATAAAAAAAGGAAAACAAAAAAGAGCAACTAGAAGTTCAAAGCAAGTCATTGACAGATGCAGACATATTTGGTTAATCACAGTTCAATCTACCACAACTTACACGTTTTGATCATCAGCACCACACAACTTACAGCGCAATCTTTTACTTAGGCATGCAGAAATTGGTTAACACTGTCCACAGATATAGAAATACATTTAATAACTCCTACATGCCATTCATTATCAAAACAATATGAACATAACAAAAATATTGGGTCTCTGGTTATTACGGCTTCAGGCCAAATGGCCGGTCCTCTGTCTCCTATGAGGATATTGCAAAGAAAATTGCTCAACTTATTTATCCACACACACAAGACATGACAACTTGCATTATTATATAGAAGCTATGGTGACATAGAACCAACAGCTTCCAAAAACTAGTACACAACCAATGACTTCTAACAAATACAAGCTTTCCGAGCTTACCCACAAAAAAAAAAAAAGCCAAGTTTTCTAAGCCATTAGTGCATGAATATAGTAACATCACTAATAGATCGTGAGATAAAATCTTCGAACTCAAATATAATTTTCAAGTTTAAATAAGTAAATATAGGTCATAAAAACACAAAATGATGGAAGATATAACGGGGCACCTCTTCAATTTTGAGCTAAAGGCTTTAAAGCCTTCGCTGGCACACCACAGCTCCTGATGAAGAAGTTGCTTAGGAGCCTCCTCCATTAGATCCAAAAGAACTTTTCGCTTGACTTCATGGGGCCAGTCCCTTCTTGAAATTACCCGTCTTATGCCTTTCTCTTTAAGTGCGGGTATTATTTTGCCATAGAACATGTCAATTGGTCGGGGAACAGCTGGAGGTACGGCATCATTGGTATTACCAGCACCCAATGCTGAAAGTTGTCCCTGCTGGACGTGATTTTGCCATGATTTAAAGAGACTGTAAATGCTTATTACATTATCCACCCACTGGATGAGGCCAGCTCGACCACTTATTGGTGTCACAGAATAGTAGCGAATCCCAAGAGATTGACCACGAGTCACAGAATGTGAATGAAGAAAACCATTTACAACTTGCAATAGCTGCATAATTCGAGCATCAAGACGTAGGTCTTCTCGGCCTTTCAAGAGATAGGTGTACTTCTGACCATTAGAGCCCACAATACTTAGTTTTTTAGGTTTGGTCTTGGTTGGTAAAATATTTACTTGCATAGAAAAAGAGGCGACTGTGACAATCCCATTAACGCCAGTACTGAGGTTCCTTTCGGTATCAGATGCTATTATTTGCTTCTCAAGCCCAGGAATGGGAGCTTCAGATGAGGACAGCTGGGCCAGTTGTGGTGCAACATCTCCAAGAGATACTGATGACTTTCTTTGATAAGACAAGGAAGCAGCAATATTCTCAAATGGTCGCCACACATCACCAAGAGCTGCTGCAGATGCAGGAGGAGTCTTAAAATTTAAGATGGCTGATTTAAGTTGACCTCCATACTCTTCATGAAACCACATCTCATGAGGTGTTTCAGGTTTCCTAGAAGTACAAGCTAATCGACGCTCCAAGACTACAGCAACTGGAGCCATCATGGCTGAGTATTTTGCAGAATTTATTTTGTTCTTCTCCCCATGACTTAGAGTCACATTCTCTGCAATTCGTGTAGCTTCCTCTTTCAGCAAACTTATGCGCCTCATCACATCTAGCAGAGTTTGCATTCACCTTGGTTAGCATGACAGGATGAAGGTAGAAGATTTACGAGGAAATTCATATGTATATAAATTATTTGCCTAAGAGGGAAGAGAGAGACAGCAAAAACAAACCGTGTACCTTCAGCCAGCAAGTTGCAAAGAAAATTTTGTGGATGTTAATGTTGTAGAGGGTTTACAAATACCTGGTCTAGTCCCAACCCAATTCTAGTTCTAGCAGTATAGCCCTTAAAGAATAAAAAACTGGAAGCACATTAAATATATTAACAGCACGCATTCCACTAGACAAATCACAACCAATCAACAAGGAGTCAGATATTTATCTGGTACAGCACAAGCTTCTGATATAGAACTTTAGCCAGACACAAACTGTGACATGTGCACCAGACTCAAAATGAAGAGGCAATGGAAAGTAACAATTAAAGAAGAATGCTACGAAGCCATGAGCATAATGACACTGCAGATCGAGTACAGGGAGTTTGGAAGGCTTATAACAAATGAGACAATCTTCAATTGAACACTCACGATTTTGGTCATACATTATGGGACATTGACACTAGAACAGTTGTTCACGTCCCCCACATTTGTAAGTTTAAAATTAAACCGAACCTCGTCTCACTGTTGATAGCAGATTATCAAGCACAGATGATTTCACCTAAAGGTAGTAAAACCCAAGAAAAAAAAAGGCTGGTCTGGTAAATATTACCTGCATGAAGATCCTGAAGCGTGCTTAGCCAAAGTTCCTCCCAAAAGACAGTAACATTTTCAAGTTCTTTAATGATCAGCTGGGCATCCTGAACTAGGCTTGGATAGAGCTTATACTGCATGTGATCAACACATAAGAATAAACTGCTAGTGTTGAACTTATAAACAGATAACAGTTTTTTTTTCGTTTTGCGGGTCAAGTAAATAATAAATCATTGTAAACAAACAGCTCTACAGTTTCTGCAACAGAGGACTATCTATCTTGTGGTAGTACTTCGGAAGAGTAATCCAACAAAGAAAATATAAAAGGGGGAAGAACCTAATAAGGTAGGTTTCCAAATGACCGGTCCAATTATACAAGCAATAAAAATTGCTCTATACTTCTGCCTTGAAGATCATCATTATTGTTTAGACCTATTTGGCATCACTGTAGTGAAAGACTCAAAATCCACGTATCTGATTGGGTCCAGAACCAGAACCAATTTCTCAGATCTGTGTATCTAGAACAGACTCCCATTTATCACAAACCTACTCTGAACTAAACTTTTGAGGAATAAGCAGCATTGCACTCAACACAACTTCTGTAATTCAGTTCTTTATTTCTTCTCTTTTTCTCATATCCTGAATATACCCAAGCAGATATAACAAATGTTTAATCACTAACTAAAAATATTCACAGAATATGCATCAAAGAGAAAACCAGACTCGCTGTTGAGCAAAATCGATGCAATGACAAGGGGAACATTCAGCTCTCTACTAAAAATAATCAGGGGATGGACACTAATTTCAGCAAAATCAGACGCCAAAAGACACAACTGACTGGAGTTTTAGAGGAAGAGTTGGTCTTTACAATTTTCCTTAACCAAAAATTCTCTATGCAGATAAAGCTCCAATTCCAGAGCTGTGCACCCAGTTTAAACTTCTTAACCAGACTATCCTAGCATAGAATAATGACAAAGCAATACGAGATGAACATCACCACTACTACTGTCCAAATATTTTTTAACAACTAAACGAAAGAAAGAGCAGGAAAGAGAACTCTTGTCAGAGAAGGAAAATTTTGCTTTACCAAACAAGCCAGTATCTTTTGAAGCTCCTCAGGAATTTCCTTCTCTTGGGTGTTTGCATCAACTAGAGCAGGGTACACAATAGACCAAGGAGATAGTTTTGACAGCTTGACCAGTAAAGTTTCTAGCTGTCTCCTAACTACTTGTTCTGGATGACAACTTAATCGTGCAAATAGTTGAGGTGTTATCTCCTTCAAAAAAAAATAATTATTAGAAAATCATCCACCAACATTGGTATGACATCCTAAAAGCGTAACTCACCTGCCATGGTAGCAAAGGAACAGTTGAAAGTGCAGGTTCAAGAGTATCTTCCAACTCAACGCCATAGTTGAGAAGAATATTTAAGACGTATAAAGTTGCCCTCATTGTGTAGCTCATGGACTTATGATTTGAGTGATGCAGGCCAGATAGTTGACAATCAGAGTACATGGAAGATGAATACGAAAGGTAATTGATGAAAGCTTGAGCTGCTTGACCAAAGAGGGATACCCTTCTTCTTCTCAAAGACCGCCAAAGATCAGTTATATCATCAATCAAGGATGTTACTGCTGGATCATCAAGGGCAATCTTTGCACTGGCTAAGGACTTCTGCAATTTAGATTTTAGCATAGCAGAAAGGGTTTCACCACTATGATCTTCAGCTCCAGGTGCTCCTGCTGTAGCTTCAAGAATATCTGTTATTTGCTCAGACAAAGATTTGACATTCTCCTTCTGCCAACATTCTGAGACAACAAAATTTTCCATATTCTCATTTAGAACTTCTAACGATCTTTTCTGTAGGAGCTCTGAGACAATGTCTTTCACTTTTAGCTGCTCTATCTCGGTTAAACTTAAGCTTTGATGATGGATTTCAGAATGAAAAGCAGATGAAACGGAAGAAGAATGAAGGAGAGCTTCATTATCTGCAGAAAGAAATGATCTTGCCCGAGCATAACACCAAGAGGCATATGAAATCCATGACTTCCCCATATTAAGGCAGAGTCGAGTAGATAGCTCCCTTGCAGCACCCACAAATTCCTCAGTAATAGCATCAATATTAGGTTTAGCACTCAGAGCATCATTTCTAAAGCTAGAAAACCCTCTGCCAGAGTCAAACGTGTCAGTATTAATAAAATCTTCTCTAAACTTCAGAACGACATCTTTCAACCTTGGATCTGAATAATTTTGTTCCAACCAATTTGACAGTTTTAAACATGCCTTTGCCTTCAAGACATTGTCAAAAGAATCAGAAGAAACAATTGCAGAAGAAAGCATGCTAGGACGTACAAGTGACCACATATTGGAAAATGCATCATCAAGCTTGCCTTCACTGTGCATCAACAGGATGTCCTCATACTGCAAACTGGAGATGATATAATCACGAAAGTCGGTGTCAGGGCAATTTGCTACATTCTCCTTAAGGTAGTTGCTTAGACGATTTGCCAACACCAAATTTCTTTGCTTGCGAGATAAGTTCAACAAGTTATTACATAGCTTGAGAGTCGCAGGTGATGTTGGTTGAGTATTTTGGTAAACTCGGAGTACTTTTAGCCATAAACTGCAATCTTGATGAACTCGATTAATCGGGGACTGAACTGCTTGAATATATGATCCTAATAATGACTCTAAATGATTGTCTTGGCTGCCCCGCATCTGGTACTTTTCCTCCAATGCCAGTATGCAGTATAAATGGTTGACATGTGGTGCAGCATCAGAGAGACCATCGAGGGGAAGAACAGATAGTGTTTCCTCCAGTATTGACTTGGCTTTCTGCAATTCGTGAGGTACCTTGTCCACTTTCCCCTCCTTCTGGAAAAGCATTGCCTGCAAAAGCATTTGCTCACTCCTTTGCAAGGCTAACTTGGGATCAAGTGTGAGTTCATTGCTACTTTTTGGTGTCAAATCAAGGCATGCCCATGATGCCTGAACATCGCCCTCATCAAAACGGGCTAATGCTTGGACGGAGTTTATTTCATTTCCTGCAGTAGTTAGAGCACCAGAGTAGCTCTTTCCTGCATGCTTTGATCGTAGTGCTTGCAGCTCCAACAACCAGGATTCCAAAGCTTTCCAATCAGAAACTGCAGTATAACTCTCAATAATACGAGCAATAGCAAACTGTACTCCTTCAGAACCCATAGAACTGAGTGAATCATCGGTCTGTAGCAGATGTATAAAATGTGCTGCAGCCTTCTCATGTTGGCCCTTTGCCTGATATACTAGTCCAGTTATCCATGAAAATTGTTCTAGAATCTCACTATCACTTAACCTTTGATTGTCCTCAGCAAACAATGGAAAGAATGCCATGCTTGTCCACTTTTGTAGACCAATTAATGCCTCTGATTCATGATTCTTACAGAGAGCTAATGCCATGTGCCGTACAACCCTCAAAATTTCTCCATCAAACCTACCCCTGATACTCTGGACAACTTCACTCACCTGGACTCTTGAATTGTCCGTGAAAGATGAAGCAACAAAATTCTTAAGCTCTCGTAAACGCAGTGTGCAGTATTGGATTGTAGCATCATGACACTGGAGTGCCAATCCAGCATTCATCATTGGTTCACATATGCGAGAAAACCACTCCTCACAGACTTTCTTATTTGCACGGAAGAACAAAGAGCTCTGCCTAGATGGACAGGGCAAAACTGTTGATCCTTCATATGCATTGTACACATTTTTCTTCAGAGCCTCAACAAAATCTAGCAACAGCCTCATTGGCAACAAATGAGCATAAGAAGTGCTGGTGATGGTCAAATTTCCATCACTTTGGTGAGTATCAAGCTGTAGCAGATGAGAAATGTCCAGAAGCATTCGTTCCAATGCAGCAAAAGTTTGAGTGGGGCCACCAAGATTGGTCCGGAGTCTCGTAGAAATACAGCACCTTGCCGCTTCATTTATAGCCCACCAGGCACCTGCAAGAATATTGGTAGAGCAGACTCTTTCAAGAATATCCCTCTCCACTTTGACGTCCCTCCACAATCCATTTACATCAGCGTTTACCAATTCCTCTGACTGTATTAAAGGATGGTCTTTCGAGTTCCGGCAGGAACAGATTAACCGTTGAATCCAAGAAGACAAAGGCACTTTCCATCTCTGAGAAATGTAACTCAATATGGAAACAAGTTGCTGTGAGCGAAGTTGATGAGGTAGTTGCTTTATGGCAAAGACTTGCTTCCAGTACAAATTAGGCCTGTTTTTAACTCCACAAATAACACTGCTAGAAGAAGTAATCATTCTACAATCATACAGACCAAAAACATATATAGTAATAGGCAGAACATTGCAAAGCAACCTACCAAATGCATTTTTTATATCTTTTTCTGGGTCCCCAAGTTTCTCAAGGACAGTCTCAGCAATGTACAGGAAGTGAGAGGGATGGACAAGTTTTGCTTGCAGAAGCATGTCTAGAACCAATTTGACAAGAGATCTTACTCTTGGTTCTCTGTCTGATGCAGAATCCAAAATGGAGAACAGCAAATTCTGCATGACCTCTACATATCCCCAGACTTCACAAGGATAATGTGTTGCCTCCACATTCTCATATGCACAGATTACATTTTTACAGAATTTAGTTATCCATTCTAAGGCTTCTATTTTAACAGCTAAAGGAGCAGCAGTGTCAAGAGCTTTAACAAGGAGATTGGAGTAATTTCTCAAATACTCCAAAACTAGTATTGGATGTTGATTTTTAATATTATCCTCCTTCATTGGCTTTGAAAGTGCAGGTTCTCTTGTAGAGCAACTAGTCAGAAACTCAACGTCACTCAGCCTTTGCAATGTCTGCAATACTGCTAGTTGCAGTTCTACATAGGCTTCAATAGGTAAGCTAAAAGGATCTAATTTCTCCACCAAAAAGGATAATAATCTCTTTGACCTATTAAGATACAACGTGTCAACTTCTGTAACATTCATATAGCGACTTCCACCTGGAGAAACACACGTTAACAAGACTTTCAAATCAAAATGGATTAAAGCAAACAATTCTGATCGTGAATAAGATTTTTGAGCTGTAATTCCATCTCCAATGCACCCCTCACCGCATGTCTCTTTGAGCACAATAGTCTTCAACAAATCCAGCTCCTCAATCAAGGAATTGATTGTCCTTTCAACAACTTCTTCATTAACATGCTGCAGTAAGAAGATATAGGTAGCAGCAGCACTTCCAGTTACTAACTGATTTGGATGCAGACGCAATTGAGATATAGGGGCATCAAATCCTATTATCTTTTCAGCAGATGATGGGAGAAGCCCATGCTTTTGAAGCGACAGCAACTGTAAATTAGTTTTAAGAACCCCATGAACCTGAAAGGAAGTAATATTTACAGTCCTTGTGAGTTGGACTGTATTCCGCATGTCCAAGCTCTGAAACAAAATATCAACCGCAATAGGGAAAAATGTTGAAAACCTATCGCCTAAAATTTCTGCTAACAAAGTCAAGCACTTCCAAGAATCCTGAATCCATTTTGACCAACCATATTTCCTTCCAATCTGTGATAAACATCCTAATAAAAGAGGAACCATTTTGCAAAGAGGTTCAGTAATCTGTCCCAGCATATTCATTTCCAGCAAACCAGATGCTACAGACTTCAAAACTGTAGAAAAGCAAGATAGTAAAGCAAGTAATCTTTGAAATTGCTGTGGAGTACCAGGACTTCCATCCTGAAGTAACACATCCATGTCTCCTAGAAACTTTGATAGCAATCCCAAGGAGAACTGCATGTTATTTACCCAGTGTTTCTGAAATTGCAAGAAACTGTCCATAATCACACTCCGATCTGATTCTGCCAGGTCAGGCACCATTGCCCACCCAAGGAGCAGATCAACAATGTCAACAAAGTGAGGCTGGAAACATCTAGAAAAGTTTAAAGAAATTATAGTTAAAACAGCAAGAAGTCTGTGCAGTAAAATCAGGGAGGTTCTCTCATCTTCGAGAAGTTCCTGGCATGCTTTGAGAACAGGCAAGGCATATCTTTCGACTGCCCCAACATCTCCAACACTAAGAAATTCTCGTAGAGCTTCCAAAGCCAGCTCCGCTGTCGCATTTCCTATATTGATAAGCAGTGGCAATGCCCAACCCATGAACCGGTCAACCAAGCCACTGAGTATAACATGATTCTGCCTTCCATTTGATGCTAGAGGGACTGAACACAGTACAGAGCACAAAGCCCCATATGCTGTGGCTGCTGACTGCCGTACCAAATATGATCTAAGCAACACAGTGAAAGCAAAAGATAAATCAACAGAAATGAAGTATATTATCCTGATCATTAACTGGTCAATATCCACTCAAAATTTAAAGACCCTTTATTACAATGAATACAAGTAATTACATCCTATTAAAGTGCAAGGTATGTGATGCACTTGGCCCATCAACAGAACCAACTGGAATGTAGGTTGTATAACAAATTGCTATTCTTGTGCCATCCAAGAACAAATGTTTGATAGATTGAGATGGAATAAACTTCAATTTTTTTTTTTAATGAATTGCATAAGCTATTGAAACATAACAAGACAAGTCACGTGAATACACTCTGATGCCAAATCTGCAGCTAATTTTTAATGGAAAGTTTCAAATCATTAGTCACATATATTTTCAACCACTGTTGACATGAACATGGATTAACAAACTTATTTCGGTGGCCCAGTGGATCTTTTATCTTTCCCCTCAAATACCTATCCTTTACAAGAAACTTGTAATTGTGCAGATTCTAGTTGCTGAATTTAATTTCAAGCATATCTCTCATGATTTTAAACCACTCCTTGAAGCAAATCAGAATTAGTTTGATAATAAATGCAACTACAGTGGAGATCAATGACTACATGCTAGACTTAACTAGCTTGGAAATAATCAGGGGATGGACACTAATTTCAGCAAAATCAGACGCCAAAAGACACAACTGACTGGAGTTTTAGAGGAAGAGTTGGTCTTTACAATTTTCCTTAACCAAAAATTCTCTATGCAGATAAAGCTCCAATTCCAGAGCTGTGCACCCAGTTTAAACTTCTTAACCAGACTATCCTAGCATAGAATAATGACAAAGCAATACGAGATGAACATCACCACTACTACTGTCCAAATATTTTTTAACAACTAAACGAAAGAAAGAGCAGGAAAGAGAACTCTTGTCAGAGAAGGAAAATTTTGCTTTACCAAACAAGCCAGTATCTTTTGAAGCTCCTCAGGAATTTCCTTCTCTTGGGTGTTTGCATCAACTAGAGCAGGGTACACAATAGACCAAGGAGATAGTTTTGACAGCTTGACCAGTAAAGTTTCTAGCTGTCTCCTAACTACTTGTTCTGGATGACAACTTAATCGTGCAAATAGTTGAGGTGTTATCTCCTTCAAAAAAAAATAATTATTAGAAAATCATCCACCAACATTGGTATGACATCCTAAAAGCGTAACTCACCTGCCATGGTAGCAAAGGAACAGTTGAAAGTGCAGGTTCAAGAGTATCTTCCAACTCAACGCCATAGTTGAGAAGAATATTTAAGACGTATAAAGTTGCCCTCATTGTGTAGCTCATGGACTTATGATTTGAGTGATGCAGGCCAGATAGTTGACAATCAGAGTACATGGAAGATGAATACGAAAGGTAATTGATGAAAGCTTGAGCTGCTTGACCAAAGAGGGATACCCTTCTTCTTCTCAAAGACCGCCAAAGATCAGTTATATCATCAATCAAGGATGTTACTGCTGGATCATCAAGGGCAATCTTTGCACTGGCTAAGGACTTCTGCAATTTAGATTTTAGCATAGCAGAAAGGGTTTCACCACTATGATCTTCAGCTCCAGGTGCTCCTGCTGTAGCTTCAAGAATATCTGTTATTTGCTCAGACAAAGATTTGACATTCTCCTTCTGCCAACATTCTGAGACAACAAAATTTTCCATATTCTCATTTAGAACTTCTAACGATCTTTTCTGTAGGAGCTCTGAGACAATGTCTTTCACTTTTAGCTGCTCTATCTCGGTTAAACTTAAGCTTTGATGATGGATTTCAGAATGAAAAGCAGATGAAACGGAAGAAGAATGAAGGAGAGCTTCATTATCTGCAGAAAGAAATGATCTTGCCCGAGCATAACACCAAGAGGCATATGAAATCCATGACTTCCCCATATTAAGGCAGAGTCGAGTAGATAGCTCCCTTGCAGCACCCACAAATTCCTCAGTAATAGCATCAATATTAGGTTTAGCACTCAGAGCATCATTTCTAAAGCTAGAAAACCCTCTGCCAGAGTCAAACGTGTCAGTATTAATAAAATCTTCTCTAAACTTCAGAACGACATCTTTCAACCTTGGATCTGAATAATTTTGTTCCAACCAATTTGACAGTTTTAAACATGCCTTTGCCTTCAAGACATTGTCAAAAGAATCAGAAGAAACAATTGCAGAAGAAAGCATGCTAGGACGTACAAGTGACCACATATTGGAAAATGCATCATCAAGCTTGCCTTCACTGTGCATCAACAGGATGTCCTCATACTGCAAACTGGAGATGATATAATCACGAAAGTCGGTGTCAGGGCAATTTGCTACATTCTCCTTAAGGTAGTTGCTTAGACGATTTGCCAACACCAAATTTCTTTGCTTGCGAGATAAGTTCAACAAGTTATTACATAGCTTGAGAGTCGCAGGTGATGTTGGTTGAGTATTTTGGTAAACTCGGAGTACTTTTAGCCATAAACTGCAATCTTGATGAACTCGATTAATCGGGGACTGAACTGCTTGAATATATGATCCTAATAATGACTCTAAATGATTGTCTTGGCTGCCCCGCATCTGGTACTTTTCCTCCAATGCCAGTATGCAGTATAAATGGTTGACATGTGGTGCAGCATCAGAGAGACCATCGAGGGGAAGAACAGATAGTGTTTCCTCCAGTATTGACTTGGCTTTCTGCAATTCGTGAGGTACCTTGTCCACTTTCCCCTCCTTCTGGAAAAGCATTGCCTGCAAAAGCATTTGCTCACTCCTTTGCAAGGCTAACTTGGGATCAAGTGTGAGTTCATTGCTACTTTTTGGTGTCAAATCAAGGCATGCCCATGATGCCTGAACATCGCCCTCATCAAAACGGGCTAATGCTTGGACGGAGTTTATTTCATTTCCTGCAGTAGTTAGAGCACCAGAGTAGCTCTTTCCTGCATGCTTTGATCGTAGTGCTTGCAGCTCCAACAACCAGGATTCCAAAGCTTTCCAATCAGAAACTGCAGTATAACTCTCAATAATACGAGCAATAGCAAACTGTACTCCTTCAGAACCCATAGAACTGAGTGAATCATCGGTCTGTAGCAGATGTATAAAATGTGCTGCAGCCTTCTCATGTTGGCCCTTTGCCTGATATACTAGTCCAGTTATCCATGAAAATTGTTCTAGAATCTCACTATCACTTAACCTTTGATTGTCCTCAGCAAACAATGGAAAGAATGCCATGCTTGTCCACTTTTGTAGACCAATTAATGCCTCTGATTCATGATTCTTACAGAGAGCTAATGCCATGTGCCGTACAACCCTCAAAATTTCTCCATCAAACCTACCCCTGATACTCTGGACAACTTCACTCACCTGGACTCTTGAATTGTCCGTGAAAGATGAAGCAACAAAATTCTTAAGCTCTCGTAAACGCAGTGTGCAGTATTGGATTGTAGCATCATGACACTGGAGTGCCAATCCAGCATTCATCATTGGTTCACATATGCGAGAAAACCACTCCTCACAGACTTTCTTATTTGCACGGAAGAACAAAGAGCTCTGCCTAGATGGACAGGGCAAAACTGTTGATCCTTCATATGCATTGTACACATTTTTCTTCAGAGCCTCAACAAAATCTAGCAACAGCCTCATTGGCAACAAATGAGCATAAGAAGTGCTGGTGATGGTCAAATTTCCATCACTTTGGTGAGTATCAAGCTGTAGCAGATGAGAAATGTCCAGAAGCATTCGTTCCAATGCAGCAAAAGTTTGAGTGGGGCCACCAAGATTGGTCCGGAGTCTCGTAGAAATACAGCACCTTGCCGCTTCATTTATAGCCCACCAGGCACCTGCAAGAATATTGGTAGAGCAGACTCTTTCAAGAATATCCCTCTCCACTTTGACGTCCCTCCACAATCCATTTACATCAGCGTTTACCAATTCCTCTGACTGTATTAAAGGATGGTCTTTCGAGTTCCGGCAGGAACAGATTAACCGTTGAATCCAAGAAGACAAAGGCACTTTCCATCTCTGAGAAATGTAACTCAATATGGAAACAAGTTGCTGTGAGCGAAGTTGATGAGGTAGTTGCTTTATGGCAAAGACTTGCTTCCAGTACAAATTAGGCCTGTTTTTAACTCCACAAATAACACTGCTAGAAGAAGTAATCATTCTACAATCATACAGACCAAAAACATATATAGTAATAGGCAGAACATTGCAAAGCAACCTACCAAATGCATTTTTTATATCTTTTTCTGGGTCCCCAAGTTTCTCAAGGACAGTCTCAGCAATGTACAGGAAGTGAGAGGGATGGACAAGTTTTGCTTGCAGAAGCATGTCTAGAACCAATTTGACAAGAGATCTTACTCTTGGTTCTCTGTCTGATGCAGAATCCAAAATGGAGAACAGCAAATTCTGCATGACCTCTACATATCCCCAGACTTCACAAGGATAATGTGTTGCCTCCACATTCTCATATGCACAGATTACATTTTTACAGAATTTAGTTATCCATTCTAAGGCTTCTATTTTAACAGCTAAAGGAGCAGCAGTGTCAAGAGCTTTAACAAGGAGATTGGAGTAATTTCTCAAATACTCCAAAACTAGTATTGGATGTTGATTTTTAATATTATCCTCCTTCATTGGCTTTGAAAGTGCAGGTTCTCTTGTAGAGCAACTAGTCAGAAACTCAACGTCACTCAGCCTTTGCAATGTCTGCAATACTGCTAGTTGCAGTTCTACATAGGCTTCAATAGGTAAGCTAAAAGGATCTAATTTCTCCACCAAAAAGGATAATAATCTCTTTGACCTATTAAGATACAACGTGTCAACTTCTGTAACATTCATATAGCGACTTCCACCTGGAGAAACACACGTTAACAAGACTTTCAAATCAAAATGGATTAAAGCAAACAATTCTGATCGTGAATAAGATTTTTGAGCTGTAATTCCATCTCCAATGCACCCCTCACCGCATGTCTCTTTGAGCACAATAGTCTTCAACAAATCCAGCTCCTCAATCAAGGAATTGATTGTCCTTTCAACAACTTCTTCATTAACATGCTGCAGTAAGAAGATATAGGTAGCAGCAGCACTTCCAGTTACTAACTGATTTGGATGCAGACGCAATTGAGATATAGGGGCATCAAATCCTATTATCTTTTCAGCAGATGATGGGAGAAGCCCATGCTTTTGAAGCGACAGCAACTGTAAATTAGTTTTAAGAACCCCATGAACCTGAAAGGAAGTAATATTTACAGTCCTTGTGAGTTGGACTGTATTCCGCATGTCCAAGCTCTGAAACAAAATATCAACCGCAATAGGGAAAAATGTTGAAAACCTATCGCCTAAAATTTCTGCTAACAAAGTCAAGCACTTCCAAGAATCCTGAATCCATTTTGACCAACCATATTTCCTTCCAATCTGTGATAAACATCCTAATAAAAGAGGAACCATTTTGCAAAGAGGTTCAGTAATCTGTCCCAGCATATTCATTTCCAGCAAACCAGATGCTACAGACTTCAAAACTGTAGAAAAGCAAGATAGTAAAGCAAGTAATCTTTGAAATTGCTGTGGAGTACCAGGACTTCCATCCTGAAGTAACACATCCATGTCTCCTAGAAACTTTGATAGCAATCCCAAGGAGAACTGCATGTTATTTACCCAGTGTTTCTGAAATTGCAAGAAACTGTCCATAATCACACTCCGATCTGATTCTGCCAGGTCAGGCACCATTGCCCACCCAAGGAGCAGATCAACAATGTCAACAAAGTGAGGCTGGAAACATCTAGAAAAGTTTAAAGAAATTATAGTTAAAACAGCAAGAAGTCTGTGCAGTAAAATCAGGGAGGTTCTCTCATCTTCGAGAAGTTCCTGGCATGCTTTGAGAACAGGCAAGGCATATCTTTCGACTGCCCCAACATCTCCAACACTAAGAAATTCTCGTAGAGCTTCCAAAGCCAGCTCCGCTGTCGCATTTCCTATATTGATAAGCAGTGGCAATGCCCAACCCATGAACCGGTCAACCAAGCCACTGAGTATAACATGATTCTGCCTTCCATTTGATGCTAGAGGGACTGAACACAGTACAGAGCACAAAGCCCCATATGCTGTGGCTGCTGACTGCCGTACCAAATATGATCTAAGCAACACAGTGAAAGCAAAAGATAAATCAACAGAAATGAAGTATATTATCCTGATCATTAACTGGTCAATATCCACTCAAAATTTAAAGACCCTTTATTACAATGAATACAAGTAATTACATCCTATTAAAGTGCAAGGTATGTGATGCACTTGGCCCATCAACAGAACCAACTGGAATGTAGGTTGTATAACAAATTGCTATTCTTGTGCCATCCAAGAACAAATGTTTGATAGATTGAGATGGAATAAACTTCAATTTTTTTTTTTAATGAATTGCATAAGCTATTGAAACATAACAAGACAAGTCACGTGAATACACTCTGATGCCAAATCTGCAGCTAATTTTTAATGGAAAGTTTCAAATCATTAGTCACATATATTTTCAACCACTGTTGACATGAACATGGATTAACAAACTTATTTCGGTGGCCCAGTGGATCTTTTATCTTTCCCCTCAAATACCTATCCTTTACAAGAAACTTGTAATTGTGCAGATTCTAGTTGCTGAATTTAATTTCAAGCATATCTCTCATGATTTTAAACCACTCCTTGAAGCAAATCAGAATTAGTTTGATAATAAATGCAACTACAGTGGAGATCAATGACTACATGCTAGACTTAACTAGCTTGGAAATAACTTAAGCCCTTTAATTTTGGTAGAAACTTTCCGGCTAAGAAACAATATCTCGGAATATATAGTTTGTACATCAAGTATATTCTCGTCTATGATTCAACAGAAAATGCTGACACTTGAATCCAATCCAAAGGAGTCAAAAACTGCTGAGCCTGCTTGTCAATTGTTGACTTTTCGCTTGTATGTGATTAAGAAAAACCCTCTTTAACCAGCATGAAAGCCAAAAGAAAAAAGTAAATAAAAGCAGATAAGTTGTGAGGTCTTAACCTCTCCTACACCGTGAAAATTGGAAAACTACATTAAAATTTGGAAATGAGTATTATCAAAAAGTATCTCATAAACCACAAGAGAAAGATTAAAAAGTTCACCCTTAAATGACATGGATGTGATCCTTTTCCTTTTGATTGTTTTCCTATCAGTATCTGTGTTTTTTTTCCTTTTTCTTATCTGCAATTAAGTAAAACACTCCAAGATATGTTAGAACTTAGAAGTACATATAATCCACATGATACACCGCACGAACTCTTGTTTATATGTACCGTATTTATATTACAGCTAATGATGTAGTAAAAAAGCAGGCAAGCAATACTGAGTAAAATCTAGAAACAATGTTCAGCTGATTCCCAACCATTAGCAGTAAGGAAAAACTAAATTACGTGACATAGAGGAGGAATGAGAGCAGTTACTTGTCGGTGAGGAGTTGAGAGAAGCCTTGGGCGAGGAAAGAGGCGGAGTGAGTAACAAGAATGGAGTTGGGAGGGTAGAGAATGGCGCGGTGGAGTGAAGTTATGGCGGCGACGCGCGAAGGCTCCTCTTCCTCCGAAATTGACGAAGTAGCGGCTGCGTTAGCTGAAGAAGACGGCGTGGTTGAAGAAGTGGAAGGATCGTTGTCCTTGGGAAGAGCCGCCGAGAGAAGTGCGACGAGCTGTTGTTGGTGGTGGTGGAGTCCTTGCATCATCTCCTCCCGTGAGTATCAGCAGCAGCAGTGTTCCACAGATTCGCATCTCCTCTGGTGTTTCAGTGATTGCTTCAGTTGTCTAACGTCACCGTTTGCCGTTTGGCAGTTGCAAGGTAGTTTGACATGCATCAGTAGCAGTACCATGCTTGTCTCCGACGAGGCAGCGGAAGAGACAGACACATTAATAGCAAGTGCTTCGAGATTTCTCCCTGGAGTTTTGTTTTTCGTTTTCTTTCCCTTACTTTATCGGGGTATGATGGAAACAAAATTAATTCAACAAATCAACCCGCTTTCTCCCTCTCCACTCTGCAACCCCCTTTTTCATTTATTTATCATGAGATAATGTAAAGAAATTCAGAGCAATTTGATCATAATCAAGGCTCCGTTTGAATTAACTCACCTGTTTTTAGGATATTTAAAAAAAAAAATTTCAAGTGTATCAATGTATATGAAAAATAAATAAATTTCCATGGATCCAAAGTGAAGGCTGTGAAGCACAATCTTTCAACTTGCAAAAAATTCAAAGCAAGACTGGAAAAGGCAGTATTTAGTAATAAGTTAGAGCCTATCCTATAGTTTAGTGAAAACTAAGGGGTTCAATTGTAATTACCACTTTCCTTTAGCTCCACCAATGCACGGTCAAATCTCAGAATCAACAGTTTAATCCGTCTCCTCCTCCTCCTTGCACTACCAAATTGTAATCGACCATTCGCCCATGAAAAAACTACGCCAAGCTCAGTGTCTCCTCAGGCTACAGCACCCGAACCTCATTCAGCTCTCCACAATACCTGCAGCTCATCGGCACAATTCCACGCTTTCTCGTTCCAAATTGGGAAAACCCACACTGTCCGCCTCTCCAGCAGCCGCGTCATCTATCACCTCTCAAACTCTTCAAGATTACGCGAAATCTTCTCAGTGGCATTTGATCAAACAGGTATCTTCATCTTTGACGCCTAAGTTAATCTCATGCACCTTTCTCAGTCTCCGCTCGTCCCCTGACCTTATTCTCAACTTCATAAAATATCTTAGCCCCCAGTGCCTCAACTTGGAATGCTACTGTCTTGCTATTTCAATTCTCTCTCGAAGGCCATCTCCAAAACAAGCCACAGAGCTTATCAAGACAGTTATCTGTTCTCGGATCGCGAGTATTAGTGACATTTTTTATGGATTGGTGGGTGCTAGAGAGAGATTAAAGATATCGAGTTCGATTTTGCTGGATTTGTTGATCAGGGCGTTGTGCGAGTTGAAAAAGGGTGATGAGGCATTTGAGTGCTTTAAAATGATGCAGGGGATGAATGTCTTGCCAAAGATTGAGACTTGTAATGATATCTTGAGTTTGTTCCTTAAGTTGAATAGGACGCAAATGGCCTGGATTGTGTATGCTGAGATGTTTCGAATGAGGATTAATTCTGGTTTGCGCACGTTTAATATTATGGTCAATTTGTTATGCAAAGAAGGGAAGTTGAAGAGGGCTAAAGAATTTATTAGGCAAATGGAGGGTTTTGGGTTCAAGCCGAACGTGGTAACATATAATACCGTAATTCATGGATACTGCTTGAAAGGGGATCTAGAAGAGGCTAATAAAGTTCTTGAGTCGATGATATCAAAAGGGCTTGAGCCGGATACATATACATATGGATCACTGATCAGTGGCATGTGTAAGGAGCGTAGGGTGGACGAGGCGTCTGCACATTTTGTGAAGATGATGGAAGCTGGGTTGGCGCCCACAGCTGTGACATATAACACTTTGATTGATGGATATTGTAATAAAGGGGACTTGAAAAGGGCTTTCTCTTATAAAGATGAGATGATCAAGAAAGGAGTAATGCCTACTGTATCTACTTATAATTTGCTAATTCATGCTCTGCTTCTTGAAGGTACAATTGGTGAAGCTGATAATTTGTTAAAAGAGATGCAAGAAAAAGGGATGCTTCCAGATGCCATTACATATAATGTACTGATCAATGGGCATTGCAGAGCTGGAAATGCCAAAAAAGCCTTTAGTCTTCATGATGAAATGTTTAGTAAAGGGATTCAACCTTCCCGAGTTACATACACTTCACTGATTCATGTCTTGGGCAAGAGGAACAGAATGAAGGAGGCAGATGACTTGTATGCAAATATATTACGAAGAGGTGTATTACCAGATCTTATAGTGTTTAATGTGTTAATTGATGGTCACTGTGCAAATGGAAACATGGAGCGTGCTTTTCTGCTTCTGGAGGAGATGGATAAGATGAAGGTCACCCCTGATGAAGTGACCTATAATACACTTATTCGAGGGTATTGCAGAGAGGGTAAAGTGGAAGAAGCACGTGGACTTTTTGCTAGGATGAAGGAACAGGGAATTGAACCTGATCATATCACCTATAACACACTGATTAGTGGGTATAGTGGGAGAGGTGACGTGAAAGATGCCTTCAGAGTGCGGGATGAAATGTTTAGTTTAGGGTTCAATCCCACTCTTCTCACTTACAATGCTCTTATACAAGGATTATGCAAAAAAGGCAAAGGAGATCTTGCTGAACAACTCCTCAAGGAAATGGTGAGTCAAGGTATTACTCCTGATGACAGCACTTATATTTCTTTGATAGAAGGTATTGGGAATGCAGGTAGCTTTAAGGGTAAAAGTATCCAGGATGAGGTATCTTGTGCATAGACATGTGTAGTACTTGGAAAGCCATGCATGGATAGATATTTTGACAGTATCAGGCATGAGCTCTTGCTGGAGTGTAAATTCTTGTGTTGCTTACTTCTTGATAGCTTTATTTTGGGATTCGATATATTATACTCCTGCATGAAAAGTAAAGACACTGTCATGAGGGTGGATAGAGTAAAAACACTGGCACCTTCAGAATTTTGTCACAGTACATGTGTCTACAGGCTTAAGAGGCTGTTCTGTTGAGGATGTAGAAGCTGATTCTCTATTTCTAGTAATGCTTCAAGGCAAGCAGTGAAAAATGTCATTGTGCTTGCTAATGTACCCATCTGAGCTTGTGAAGCAGACTACCTGCTACATTGATGTTCTTTGAGGAAATCTCATTGCTGCGAGATACTCTTTATCAACCTTTTTCAAAAATGATGTTTCCAGGGCACTGAAAATAGGATGAGAATCATTTGAAGGGGGTTTTCCATCATCAAGGTAGTAATGTATACTTTATTGATCAAAGGCTTTGCTAAAGTGGATCTGAATATGAGGATTTGGTGCTACATTTTGCTTCGGGTGAGAGACTCTTGCATGCAGAAACCTTTTTGTTTGGAGTAAGAGTCATGCGACTGAAGAGCTACCTTTGAATTAGATGTTCAACCTGTAGATTTGGAAGGTTTAATGAAGTCGAATACTTCTGCCTGCCTCAACATGATTTAGGACTGATCATGTAGATAAATTTTTTTCTTTTATTCTTTTTTTTTTTATCAATCTTTTGCTCGGCGATGCACTCCATTTGTACTTTGTAAGTCATTTATGTGCTGTAATACTTTCGGGGAGACATCAATTTTGTAGTTAGAATTCGTGTTGAACAAGAAGAAACTATTGGTACTTAATTGATGAACAAGTATTGATGTGATTTGAGGGATTTTTGTAATATCCATCTCCCTGAACAGTTTCTGGTTCATTTTATCCCCTTAAAACATCTGCTTGATGATATGATCTGGCTCTTTTTATTTGTGAAATGAAATTAAGCATCTACTTAATGGAATGTTTTGTTTAATAACATCTCTTTTATTATGCCTAGCGTTCTTTTCGTTATTTATTTCATAGTTCACCCATGCAGATAATGCATGATACAGACTCGTCCTGTTTTTGCTGTAAGAAACCCCGCTTAGTTTATTCACATCACCATCTGTGCAACTTTGTTGGAAGAAATTGCGCTACTGCTTCAGCAATCTCAATCTTCCAGTCCATTTGAAATTGGACTGGACACAGAACACAAGTATTTTTCATAAACCATTACTCGGTCTTAGGTAATGTTCCGTCAGGATCTTGAAACGAACTTGTTATCGCCAGTAAAGATATTATATCTTTAAACAAGTGATAACGTCTCATGTGCTACTTTTAAGAATTGAAACATATCAGAGTCCACTACTTGATGGTGGGGTCAAAGGTCTGTATCCCTTGTTATCAGTTCACTGGCTTCGAATTCCTGAAAGATGGTTATGCATTTATGGTCAATTGACAATTGAATATGGTAATCCACTAGCTCTTGTCAACTGCCTCTATGCCTTAATCTTTAGTGTGTTATTGCATTAAATCGCCATTCAAACAAACATGAGTCCTAATACGCAAGGCTATGAGATTATATGTCATAACCTTTCCATTACAACTGTAGACACAATTTTTCTTTGAAGAATAGTGGAAGGGTCACATTTGGATGGTTTGTCATCATTTTAGTGGAATTGTTTGTGGAAACACATGCACCATGCACCAAATTTTGTTTACAAAACCTATCGTGCATTTCTGAGACGAAATTCCGCAAAGTACTTCCAAGTTTTTAAGCCTTGCAGCAGACCCAATTCTCCAATATCAGAAACTTCAATGGGAAAACTTGTGGAACACCTAGTATCTGGCTTCGCCCTTGCCAGCCTTGGTTTCTGGCATGCCTTCAACACAGTCAGAGCCTGCTATGCAAATGACTCTTCTAAATTTACAGCAAGGTTTTGGTACCCATTTAGGAGTCCAATTTGCAAACTTAAAAATCTGGAGCTCATACTTGTCTTGTCTTTCTCCATCTTGGCAATTTTCATGCAAATCTTGGACTTTCCTCCTCTACACCTTTCTTTCAAACATGAGAATTTTGAGCATGCAACTATGTTCCTTCACCTTGCCATTTTTTCTGGTTTCAATCTTCTTGCAGAGCTAAGTCATTTGCCTGAGACCCTATCTGGCGTCTCCGGCATACTTGCAGCCTCTGTTTTTGCTCAAGAGCTTTTCTTGCTCCATTACCACTCAACTGATCACATTGGACTTGAGGGTCATTACCATGGGCTTTTGCAGCTCATAGTATTGGTGTCACTGTTCGCTGCATTGGTTGTAACTTCTTGTCCTTCTAGTTTCCCTGCAGCACTAGTTCTTTCGGTTTCAGTCATATTACAAGGATGCTGGTTCATCGTTATGGGATTCATGTTGTGGGTTCCTAAGTTCATTCCACAAGGATGTGTGGCGCAGTTAAGTGATGCCAGCAGCAGCATCATGCAAGGAGCGGTCGTCTGTGAGACTCAAGAAGCTAGTTTCAGGGCAAGAGCACTGGCTAACTTGCAGCTCAGTTGGATGCTTTCTGCAGTTTTGATCTTTGTCACGGGGATTTTGCTTGGATTTTCCAGAGCTTTTGCACCT